AAAGTGTTCCAGATAAGGATAATTATAAATATGAATTGTAGTTAATCATGGTTTAATCATCCTGATTAGAAATCCTTCTTGTAACTGAATGTATGACAATATCTTTCACTATAGCAATCTTGTTCACTCTTCATCTTTAAACTAAGCAACTGCACATACTTTGCAAAGATGACAAGCTCCAGTTTGATCCTTCTTGAATGCCTTCCTGAATTTCCATCAAAGGGAAGCCAATTACAGTGATCAGGTTGAGGTTATAGACATCCAGAACCATAGTCCTAATGTATGAAGGATCTCTGTAAGAATGTTTACTTTTTTCCTATGAGATATGTAATACCATGCCCAGTGGTGTAATCTTACAGAGAATGCCAAAGAATCCAATGGTTTAGGAGCATGCAAGGGAATATGCTCGGGGATTTTATTTAGAAAAGAAAAAAATATATTATCAGTGAGCACTGGAATAGACCAAACTTCCTTCTAATATTCTAGAATTGGATAAAATGATACAAATTGGCATGGGGAGGCCAGAAAATAAATAAAAGTTGTAAAAATTTTTACTTTGTAATTGGTAATTTAAGTGGATTTGATTTAATTTCTGATTAAAAGATAAATGTCACATTTTGGCTACTAAAGTTCTTTTATTACAGTTACAGTTACAGTTTTTATAAATTAAAGTTAACAGTCTTATCAGTTAAATTTTATAATTGGAGTTTGTACTTACACATGCATTTTTAAACTGAGGGATTTTATTAGTAGTTTGTTTGCTCTGGGGGTTCTGAAAATAATGTGTCTATGTATGCATAGTTGTGAATTTCTATGTACAAATACATTTGTGTGTCTGTATGTGTGTGTATTGCTACTGAATTATGATTATGAGATTGTCATAATTACATATTACACTTTAAAATGTTGGAACACCAAAGACAAGATTCTTCTAGTCCCTGTTTTTCAAGCTTTTGTTATTTTGTTTCATTGAGTCATAGCTGAGCCCTGGTGTCTTCAGGGATAAAAAGTGCTAATGTCATCTGCCACATGCCCAAGCCCTTCTGGTGCATCACTGTAGTGTCTACTATTCCACTACTCCACTACTATTGCTCCTAGAAGCACAAAGCCGAGAACACCAGCCTGAAGATGACGAATGAGACTTCGTCGAAACGTTGCCAAGACACCTCCAATTTTACGCGGGAGAAAACCCGAATAACCAAAGACCTATACACACACACACACACACACACACACATATACACATACATTGAGATATATTTTCCAATCTGCTTTTTCTTCCCGTATTTGTACTGTCAAAGTTCATCAGAAGCAGCAGCTCTTATGTATTTGTGAGGTACCTGGGCAAAGGAACATCTGGAGTCTCCTGTTTTTATAACCTCTTAGCCCTTAAAACACACACACAAAGGTTTGTTGTTTAACACAGCACCTACATTGCCATTGGCCTCCCAGTCAGTCAAGCTAGCCAACAGAGAAAAATGGATATGAATGTCTTTGTAATGTTATAGGCAAGCAGATAACATGCTGCCTTGAAAGAGTGCAGTTAGTGGAACAGATCTCAGCATTTCCTTAGCTCTGTTGTTGATCTTGGAGTCTTTCCAAATGGGAGCCAGATCTCTATTCTAGTCCTATCCATCACTCTTAACTCTAATGATGCTGCCACAACTAACCCAGAAAATCATATGAATAAACTAGGAAACCAGACTCATCCCAGTTTCTCATGAGCTTTTTTTTAAGTTATGGGAAACTTCTGACATTACAGTCCCTTATATATTTAAAACATATAAACAGGGGTAAGAAAAACAGCTGAATATGATTTTAATCATAAAAAGGTAGATGTGAAAGTAAACATTTGAAATCTTGCAAAGTCCGTGGAAGCTTTATTTGATATGGATTAAATATTATAAACTTTTATAATTTTTTAAAAGATTTCCTACTTTGAAACAATTTTTTTGTGATGAAAATCATTTTTAAGAAAGTTTCTAATAATAAATAAACTAATAAAAAGCAATCTGAATTATATCTTGTAAGAAGATAAGATTGTATTGTAAAGGAAGGAAACAGATATTTAGGAATGGTAGGAGTTATTTTACTTGTACTGTGACACAGGGTTGCTTATAATAAGAACAATCTTGCCCAGAGGACATTTAATTTAAAAGGCTGTCTGTGCATTTTATATCTTCATCTTCCAGAGATTTAACACTAATGCAATTGTGCAAAGCTGATGCCACAACCAAAATAGCTTGTGCAATTGTAAATACACTTTATGAAAAACTAACAAATACATATTTCAGTAAAAACATATAATCATTTCTGGTACCAAGGATTTATAAACAAACAGAACGATGTAAAAAAAGCAATTGGTTGTAAGACAGCCAGAATAAAGCAGGGTTAAAATACAAGTGCTTAAATCTGTATCATATTTTTCTTCTTTTTTCCTTTGCATGATTTACTTTAAAGCATGTATAGCTTTAAAAGTCTTTAGATATCTACACACATTGATGGGAGGACAGGAATTTACATTAATTATCTTCAGGGATTTGAGTGAAGCAGGCCATTTGAATTTGGTTAAACTTCTATAAGTCTCAATTTTGTTTTGTTTATTTGTTTTTTGTCTGTTTGTTTATTTCCTGCTCAAAACAACAAATATATCCCACACACCTTTGCCCTCCTATTTTTCCCACAACAACCCTATGAGGTGGGTTGAGCCAAGACAGTGACTCTCCCAAAGTCACCCAGCTGGCTTTTTTAATGTTCTTACCAAATGGTCAGGTGAAAACTTGCTAAAAAATTTACAATTAATGTGTAGCAGACATTAGCATCTGAATAATGCCCGGTTTTGGGGTGTTGGGGTTATATCTGGTCTGGAATTCTGGGAGCTATGATGGGTATTCTCAAAGAATGGCTGACATTGCGGACCCCACACATTTATACAAACTTATACAAAGATTGTCACAGTGGGGCTGATCTCTTATCAAACTCTTTTCCCCCCAAAATGCACATTGATGAGATTGTTCTCATAATCCCTTCTAGCCTTCAAATAGTTTTGCTTTGGGTTTTTCTGGGTTGGAGGGCCATGTGAAAACAAAACATTGGATTACACCCCCTCTCCCCCATCATTTTCATTTTCTAAGACTGCATTTGGAATGTACTTAGGTAAAGATAAAGGTTCCCCCGCACATGCGTGCTAGTCGTTTCGGTCTCTAGGGGCAGTGCTCCTCAGTTTCTAAGCCAAGGAGTCAGCGCTGTCCGAAAACGTCTCCGTGGTCATGTGGCCGGCATGATTAAAAGCCGAAGGTGCACGGAATGCTGTTACCTTCCCACCGAAGTGGTCCCTATTTTTCTACTTTCATTTTTACATGCCTTTGAACTGCTAGGTTGGCAGAAGCTGGGACAAGTAATGGTAGCTCACTCCGTTATGCAGCGCTAGGGATTAGAACCGCTGAACTGCCAACCTTCTGATCGACAAGCTCAGCATCTTAGCCACTGAGCCACCACATCCCAATTAGGTTCTGGTACTTCATTGAAAATAAAGATTATGACAGAAGTGAGTGGAAAGCAACACAGAGCACTTGTTTGCAGTTTCTTAGCCCAAGATCCTTCAGCAGTTGTGGAGATTAGTTTTGAAAAAGATACAGCTGCTCAAAAGAACTATAGATAGATGCTACTGAGATACTACTGTATGCTTTGAAACATTTTAGCCTTCTGCTCCAGAACCCTGCTTAGCTCTTGTGAATACCTATGTAATAATTTTAATTACATTAATCCAAAAAAGTAGGAAGGAGGTTGACCAATTGTTGAGGTGGCACTACAAAACAAAAAACAACAGCCAGCACCAACAGATAACTCTAGTCTGTACATATTATAAATAAGATTTTTAACAGTTTTTATAGCATGAAAATGGGACAGAATTCTCTAACTGGGGGCTTTCAAGGTGTGTTGGGACAGGGGACAGCCCTAGTGACAATGACTATAGGAAGGCACTTGGTTGGAGAAAATTGGGTGCCATAATACATTTACAGAGAAAGGATTACAACCTTCACATGTTTGCTAAAATCCCAGCTTGAAAAATAAACAATTGGTATTTTCCAGATGGGTTGGAATTCCGGGTTGAAAATCCTATGAATTGTGTTCCAATACTCGGAGTGGACAAAGTTGGGGAATGCGGGTATACTCCAAATCAGTAACGTTACCCACCTAAATCCAAGCATAGACTGTTACAAATGCAAAAAAGCACAGAGAAGATTTGACACCTCAAGGCTTGAAGGAGAATCCCAAACACATTTACAAATCCACTACTGAATTAATGCATACTGGATATTAATATGAGTTACCACTTTATTGACTGAAAAGAAAATACTTTCTCTAGAAATTCCATTTCAGTAGCTCTCATGAGTTGGGCAAGCTTTGAAAAGTCTAGAAATACCAGAAGTTATTGACAAAGATGATCAGTATTATTTCTTTTTGGGGTAGAAGACAGAATAATATTGTGCACACTCTGTTTGATGAGTACTGTTGCCCCTTTCAAATCTATCTATGAATTCATCCTTATCTCTTTATTCTTACTACCTTTCTATCATCATCTTCTTTACTGAATCTTAGAATCAAAATAAGATAGTAGATGAATGCAATTTTTTTCCTGGGCTTTAATCATATCACTTTTGATCGTTTGCTATGCAATGTGGAACAACATAAGCACCAATCTGCACAGAGATGGTTACAACATTATAATTCTTCTTCATCCTTATTTCCCATCTTTTTCTATGTTGCTTTTTATTATTCCATTATTCCATTCCAATAGGACATCGATGCTTCATTCCAGGGAATCATCACTTTGGCTCACCTTCCTGTAGGCTGTTCAACCAGAGCAAGGAATTCAATCAAAGCACTTTTCTATTTCCTTTTCCCTGACATATGTGATTTAGGAAGCAAAAGTTAATTTTAACTGCAAGTCTGGCTTATCAACAGTGTTTATTTGAAACTTCTAGAATCTCTCTTACCTCCTTCTGCCCTTCTTGTTTGTTAGAAGGAATGAAGCAACTGACTCGCCTTGCAAGGACTTGGTGTGTCTGATGTTGCATCTCAGCTGCTTTGCTGGGCAGCAATCCATTGCCACTTGTAGGAGTTGTTGGTCTCTTGGATCTTAAAGGCATCAGGGTCTGGTAGAAGAGATAGGCAGCCAGGACCAGCACCATCAGGAATGGGCGAAAACGACACCATCTCCGGCCAGGCACAATCTGCCGGCAAGCCATGGCACCTCAGATTTCTGATTTGTCCCATTTCCACATTATAGGGGCGATCAGTCTGGCTGCTTTCCGCCAGCATAAAAGTAAGGCAGAAAGGTATGTTTTCTGTACTCAAGTTCTCTCTCCATCAGTTCTGGGCTTGAGTTCTTCCATGACATCAGCAGGCAAGAAATGAGAGGCCCCCAGCAGAGAAAGGCAAGTGATGTTCGACCTGGAAGAAACAATGGGATTGGTGGTGAGAGATCGAAAGAAGTAACATATAAACAATGTGGATTGGAAATGAACACACATTAAGTTTCCAAGTATTGCAAACAGAAGAAATGTGACTGTTCAGAACAAAACTCCATTGCACAATACCCAGGAAAGGACTGACCGAGCAGTTATGTTCAAAAAAAGGTATATTGGCTAAAAATTGCAATGAGCTTTGCACATAAAGCTGAAAAATACAAAGGCTTTTCTAGCAGGACGCTTCTTCCCCTCCCTCCGCCTTCCAATTCCTCTCCCGATGGGTTCTTTAAAAAAAAACAAAACATTTCCTTCATCTTTTAAATTGCCTTTTTCCTGCCAGAAAACATACACAGCCTTCCCTCCCTGCACAGCTTTTAACAGAGCAAAAAACCTAGTTTTTGCTCGATCGGATTTCTTTTCTCTCTCTTTTTTTCTTCCGTTGTCTTTTGGAGTTCAAAGTCATGTTTACTTACTCAGTTCTTCACCCTGTCAGACGTTTTCCATTCTCCTCTAACGGGTTGCTGATTAAAACCACTCCAACAGCCCAGGCTCATGACTTCAGCTCATCTCCACACACGCACACAGCACTCCATCTGAACTCCGTTGGACCACAGACGTATAAATAAAAATCAGGACTGCCCGGAGGGGTGGGGTTAAGTTTACCAAGCTCTGAAAAGTCTCTCAGGCTGGGGACTGTACTGGATCATAGAAACAGTTTACTTTTGCCTCCCACATGTTGTTTTGCAGCATTGTAAGAACTTCAGAACTGCACATAAGTTACGGAAAAGTGATACAGAGGAATGCAAGTTCTATGGCAAATGGTAAATTAAGAAACCAAGTGGCTCTGGGCTTGCAAAACCACTTCGGGATGTTCCATTTTATTTGCCAAACATACAGAAGAAGGGGTATGAGAAAGATTAACTACGTATCAGAGGCATCCTTCGGTTTATAGCACCACTTACTGTAATTCTGTACAGCTAAATGTTAAGACCAATAGCTGGCTTTAAGAAGAGGGGTGAAAAAACTCAAAATTAAAACTTTTGAGTTAGGCTTGAGTCCTGGCAACTTCCTCTGGCAGTCCCTGCAGTTATCTTGGCAAGAGTTTTTAGAAGTGGTTAGCCCTTGCCTTTTTCATAGGGCTGAGAGAAAGGGACTGGCCCAAGGTCACCCAGCTGGCTTTGCGCCTAAGGTAAGACTAGAATTCACAGTCTCCTAATTTCCAGCCTGATGCCTTTAACCACTACATCAAACTTGCCCTCATAGCTGACTGTAAACCATGGTATAAGCAAACAAGCCTGCATACCTCCATTATAGAAATTTCAGGAGCATTGAACAGGGAATCTCACCTCCCTCCTCCTGCTACTTCTGTCCCAGATCATTATTTTTCTCCTCTTTTTAATGTTACTGGTGAAAAATGTTTTATTTTCTTTCCTGGAACCCAGCTAAAAGTTGATTGGCTAGTCAAAAAGAAAAGTGGGTCATGGGGAGCAGGCAGGACACGGTAAGATTATCTGCTCTCATAGATGGTATCCCCAAGCTCTCCATTCTAGTGGTTTTCTTCTTAAGACAATATTATTTCTTCTCCACATCTGACAAATGGTTTCCCCTCTCCCCCATGCAGAATAGAGGATGACATTGTGTTCTGCTTTCCATCTCTATTTAACTGCTGTTATTTACATTAAAAAGATAGAATAACTAAAGGCCACTTCCTTTGGGTCTGTCCATACTCATTGCCTATAATAGTTTTCCGGAATGGGGCAACTCGCCACAGCAAACTCTCCACAGCCAACCTTGCCACATAACTCACTGCGGCCAAGTCACTGTGGGACAACTCATTGCGGGACAATTCAACAAATACAAAAGTTAAATTAATTTTGACAGAACCGTGGCCGATAATAATAAAATAAATTTAATCCAGAAATATATGATTTACAGTAATTTCAACAAAAACATGGTCACCAATGATAAAAGTAACTGAATTGTTATTAATGCAGTGTTGAATTGTCCCACGAATTGGCCACAGTGAGTTGCCCTACACCAGGGGTCAGCAACCTGCGGCTCTGGAGCTGCATGTCGCTCTTTCATCCCTCTGCTGTGGCTCCCTGTCGCTCAAAACATGCGTCACAACCGCCAATGTGCGACACCCACTGGCACATGATTCATTGAACTTTTCAACTCATTTTTTTTTTCAGAGTTCAAAATGTTTTTGTTGCATGCAGAAATAAAAATTTTTTTCTCTAGCAGTTCATTGATTACATAAATGCGACACACTCTAGTTTTTTTATACATAGCATAAAGGTAAAAAAACGATATATGCAGCATTATCTTCATTTTAGATGTCAAAAGGTTTTTGTGGCTCCTGGTGTTTTCTTTTCTGTGGGAAACGGGTCCAAATGGCTGTGAGTGTTTAAGGTTGCCAACCCCTGCCCTACACCCTTGTTTCCGATGGCTTTGGAAAGTTCTGCATATTTAAGAGATACATAGATAACAGATATTATTTATTCTTTTGCCTTTTTATCTCTTGCCAATTGGACAAGTCTAACTTTCCCCTGCTTTGGTCTGTCTTTTGCCCTGTTTTGCTAGATAACTATTTTGATATTTGATGAAGTTATATAAATAAACACTGAGCTTTATTTTTGCTAGAAAATCTGAGTGGTGTGTGTAGTTGCTATGACCAGGAAATAGGAAATGACTAGGCATATACTGGGTGCAAACTAAATTGGAAATTGCTATGTAATTTTCCAACATTTTGGTTTGCCTGCACTTCTTTTCCAAAGTTCTAATTTCAATATGATGGAAATAATTTCCAAACATCTTCAAAGATTTGGAGGAGGTTTTTTCTCTTCCCATAATTATAAGGTGATCAAGGGATAGATGTGAATGCATCATTCTGCATTGTGATCTTTCTCAAGCTACAATTAAATACCAATGAAGAGACTTCCTTCCTATGGTACTTTTTCAAATCAGGAATCCAAAAGGCAACATCAGATGTTGCATGGTATTGTGCAATTAGTGTAATTAAAAACAGCAACAACTAACCCCCCTTTTTCCTTTAATAATTAGTAGTGCTCACCACTAATACACAACTATAATCTAAACTTAAAAGCATTGCCAACTCTGAAAGTTAAAAATGTTCTGAGAATTAGGTACCAAAAAAAGCCCATTTCACAGGATAAGAAAACATTCAAGACACTGAGGAATATTGTCAGTTTAGGCAGTGTGACTAGTATTATGAGATAAACCCAGGAGCAAAACACAACACACAGCCTTTAATTAACAGTAGTTTTATCTACAGCTACTTATACGTGGTAAATACCTTTCATATAGCTACTGACACAAGGAGAGCAATGAGATACACTGAGAGATAACATGAGAAGGGAAACGTCCTCTAATGGCTTCCCTTATATAGACAGCTTCTTACCCAGCTTCTTAAAAGTTGCAGTAACCCTGCTGCCTCATTCCCATTGCATCAGTTTCTGGTTGCCTCCGCTTACCACCTCTCATCAGCTTACAGCTATTAAATCTACATACCCTGACAAACATATTTGGTCATGGATGTGATCAATGTCCATGGTGGTCATTAATAAGACTTTTGATTACCTAAATCTGATTGTGCATGAGATCATATACTAGGTCAGATCTGGGAGGAGAGACTTTTATGATTCTGACTTGGCACAGCTCACTCTGTCTGGGCAGTTTAGGAAATGAAAATTGCTGCTATCCAGAACTTTCCCATCAACTGTGATAGGCACCCCTGAGACCAGATTTCAGATATCTTAACTCTTGTAGTAATATTTTTTTTAAAATCATCTCCTTTTTTTGACCTCACTGGAATATTTTAATAATATACCATAATGGTGGCAGTGGGACAGCCAATAGGTCAGAAGTAGAAAGCCATGAAAGAAACATTTAGTTCAAATATTAATCAAGTGAAGCAGCTCTAGACTTTCATAGCCGTATCAAATAATGCTCCAATTGCAACAGATGTTTTGAGAAATCTGAATGTCAGCTTACTAGAGCTTTCTCAAAATCAGATTATTTGGTTCCTCAGGATATGAACCTCTAGAGGCCTTGTTTTTGTAGCTTTCCATATACAGTATAAACAAGCCTAGCTCATTTGGGATTATTCTACACCTACTTATGATGATAATCAACTTTCAAAATTGCATTTTACATGCCATTCTGGAATTGGCCTGTTATCATAGTATTACAATTTTTGTGTATAAAACTGTTCATACCTTCTGCTCATGCCTTATCACTGCTAACAATTTTATCCACATATCAAGTTGTTTTTCTGCAGAAAGGCACACAATACAATCATTCACAATATCATGCCACAATATCAAACACCTCGGTATCATTAGTGGCGTTGACTTGCATATAAGGAGGCAGAGAATCAGAATTCAAATTTCCTTCTGATCACAGTATTGGACTTCACAGCAGTCAAGATTGTCAAGAGGAACCTCTAGCAGAAAAAACTCTAGCCACATCTTGCTTAGATGGATGGATGGTGGGAATCTTATTATTTGTATGCTTTATTGCTAAACTGTAATAGTCTTGGGATTGTGCAAGTTTTATTTAAAAGGGAAAGTTGGAATTATTTAGTCATTGAAAAACAGCCTGTTTATGACTAAAATGGGTTAAAATATGCTGACATTCAGATTCCTTCCAGCATCCGTTACTAGAAGATGCAATTATTATAATAAATGTTGTCCTCGCTATATATAAAAAAACTACCGTATATTTCATTTAGAGAGAAATGGGCACAATTATTTATACATGTGGCTCACAAAAAATAAGAAACAATATAAAACTATGCACCTTAATCCACCAAACTTTTTTCCACCGATTATTTTATGTTGATCTATCTTTAGCAAGCTACTAGAAAAAGAACTTATATTTTACATTTAATTCCAGAAAAACTGCTAAATTATGTCTGCAGCAGAAAACAGTAATAAAAACAAAACAGATGAATATGACCCAAAGGAAAAAAAATAGGGAGCCTTATGGAGTCTTAAAATACCCTGATTAAATTTGACATGAAATGCTGTAATGTACTGAAGTAAACACTTCAAATTCTTGAAAATAAAGCCTCGTTACTCACCTTTATCCATGATGACTGGTGTGAGTTTGAATCCAATATATAGTTCTGGGTTGCTTATCCCTAGAATAAGACTTGTAATTTTCCAACCTCCAATGTAATTGTAACTATGCTTGAATGTCACTTGTAAGGAAAATATAGTTCTACAAGCTTATGGAGTCATTTGCAAGCAGACTAAATCCAATTTTGGCTTCCACCTGCTGCCCAACCAATAAAGTGGTTTCATATTACTTTTTGGAAGATACTCTAAAAATTGTTACAAGGCAACCTAGAAGGCACTGTGCTTCATGCAGTGCCATCCTATGCAAGATGGATCATGAAAGGGTAAAAGGGTGCCATCCTATGCAAGATGGAGCATGAGAGGTAAATGTTTTTTGCAAGTGTTAAGCAGTAACTAAAAATAAATGTCTTTCGAAAGTGTAAATGGCTGATCTTCCTTAAGTCTGAGACTCATTACTCTGAAAGCCTAAAGACCATGATGTTCAAGATTTCTGGCTAAGGTTCTGTATCTGCCTGACTTTTCCTCTTCTATATTGAGGTTGAACTTGAAAAAGATGGTTGGAGGAGTGTTGTAACATACACACAGGAGAAATGTCTACTTTTTCCAAACTAAGGATTCAATTTCGTGTTTGATTTGCTGGAGGTCGCATTCCAGCAGGTTGAACTTTTTCACCCAAACTTAGGACATTCATCCATGGATATTGTATTATCTAAAGCAGGGGTCTCCAACCTTGGCAACTTTAAGCCTGGCAGAGTTCCAACTCCCAGAAATTGGGAGTTGAAGAATTCTGGGAGTTGAAGTCCGCCAGGTTTAAAGTTGCTAAGGTTGGAGACCCCTGATCTAAAGGAAGAATCCCATTCTATTCTTTCTCAACCACACCATCTTAAAGAACTGCTCTGAATTGCTGAGGATAGATGAATGTTGGAGATGGCATTAGAAGTGGCAAGAAAAGAAACTAGAAAAGAAACAAAGCATAGTATACACCACTAATGTAATTTCCTTACGATAGCAACAAATTGAGGATCCAATTCACTGTTTCTTGCCATGTCCTACCAGCTGACTGACCTTAATTCAACACAACTTTTAATTATGCAATTTTATGCATAAATGCATTTCCTAGATGTAATATAAACATTAAACCATTTCAAGTATTGAAAGCTTTTTTTGCTTACGTGAACCATGTTACGTGAACCAATTTAGCATTATAAATAAGGAAAGTTTTTTAAAAAAAGAACCACCCACCACACAGTAGGCATATTGCTTAGTATGTTGGAGATGGAAACCTTTTATTTATATATTTTATTAAAAAAAATAAAAACTATTTAAAATCCTCCAGTTAGACTGCATATTATGAAAGCTTTCATGAAATGTTGTACTGTCTTTCTTTGATACAGTATGCAAAGCATTAATACTAGCATTTGATTTTTCCAAATTTGAACACCTAATACAGTTTCAATTTAAAGGATCACTTGCACAAAAAATAAACACATTTGGTATAAAAAGTTTATCACTTTAACACCATTTTTAATGACTATGCCCTGAATGGACCCCAAACATATAAAGATTAGTGGTATTTTTTTCTTTAAAGTGTACAAGAGTCTGTTGCTATGTTCCAAGTACTCCAGAGGATATTAGCCCAGTGTGTGTATACAAGAACCATCTTCTTCAGCCTGCTGAATTCCATTTCAACCAGAGAGCAAGCTCTAAAGGCATTTGAAAAAGTCCATTCTCTTGACAGCCTGACTTCCTTTACCACTTATATACATAAATTCCATAACAGTTCTTGAGCACAGAACATGCAGCAGAATGTCAGCTGAATATAAAATGATTCGAAATGTTCTTTTGCTGGAATTATCTGAAGACCAAGTTATCATAGAATGCCCATTGCTTAGAGAAAATGGTCGGAGTACAAATGTCTGCATATGTTTGCCACTGGAACAATCCATGGCTAACTGGAAAAGTATTTATAGCACAGCAGTAGTGCATAAATAATTTAGGTACAATATTAAAACACAGCTAGCAAAATTAAGAAGTCAATATTTTTGACAGCTATATCAATCCTTCTTTGACTGGCTGCAAAGAAGCATTTCCTCCTAATCCACCTCCCAAAAGGAATACGTTAACTGGAGTGAAGATAATGCAGCATTTATTTATGCCTATTGCCTCTTCTTTTCATTGCAGCAGTACACTGTGGACAGTACCATTTTCCTTTTGGTGCTTCTGTCAATCCAACACAGCCATAATGGAACCACTCTATAGGACACTGTAAGATACATAAAAGAGAAAACACGATATTCTGAAACACTGATGCTAAAAAAATGCAATGTATTAATATGGGACAGATTCACAGAGACTCATAAATAAAGGAAAAATACCAGATCTCTTTAGGAAGCCAGATAAGTTTCATCTAAGACGTTATATTTCTTGGCCATCAATATTACCGGGACAACTACTATGTGTTTATTCAGGCAGCTTTGTATGTGTAAAATCATCTTTAAATTCTCAAGAATTGCATTATTCTAATAATAATAACTGTATTATTTTTTCCCAAAACCATCAAACAGAATCTAAAAGTTACGCCTAGGGTTTAAAACACTCAAGTCACACTCACTGAAGTCCCACAGACAAGCTGAAGCATTTCTGACTGTACATCCAACTCTTTCTTCAAATATAGTATTAGAAGCAGTGAAAAAGAATTGAATACTGACATGCATATATATTTATATATTGTGTTTGTGTGTGTTCAACCCCAGGCATTAGATCTGATTATTTTTTAACGTGGTTCTTAGAAAACTAAAAACTAAAAATAAAAAATCAACAAGATATTATTTCTAGTTTTAATTATTTTCCATACTTACATCTTGATTATCACAGCCCACCATTTCACCGTATGACACCTATGAAGAATCAGTACATATTATTTGAACATTAGATTTTATATGATCAGAAAATACTTCACATCAAAAAGTTACTAGGAGAGATTGAGATTGACAGTTCCAACTTTTAATATACTGAAAGAATAGTCATACTATATGCTCACTTTTCTATTATTGGAATTTTTAGATTGGAGATGACTTCCACAAATTCCCATTGAAATGTCCAAGAGTTACTGAACTTTTTTCTTTGATCATTAATATTTTAAATTTGTTTGGGAGTCACTTTGATGAACTGCCTGTTTGGAAACATGGCTATACCAGTTTGTGGAAAACATTTATATTTTTCCATTACTATCAGCTGCAATTTATAAACACAGGTAACTTTCTTTTCATATATTTACTATCTTAATCTGGTTTATTTATTATTTGTACAATATCAGCCTTATATATTAAATAGAATGTTGTTTTGAGTTTTCAAATACAAATCTGAAACAGCCAATTTGTATGACTGAATATAGCTGATTTATGAGATTAGCATCGTTAGATTTTATATTTAACAGCTGTGTTTCAAGTTTATTTTTCAACAGAAAATACTTCTAATATCTAATCTGAAATTCAATCAACAAGACCTTTATTAAAAGTAAACAAAACAGAGGAAGCAACAGTAATATTAAATACCGGTAACATTAAAATCAAAGCTAAAATTGTTTCTCAATCTAGTTATTATTTGAATCAGCTCTGTAGTACTATCATCTTAGTGATATAATTTTCATTTACACTAAAAAAGTATTATCATTATATTTTAAACATTTAAGGCTTTTTAGTTATTATACTTGTATACTATTTTCTATTACTGCAAATCTCAAAATGCTGGGAGTCCATAGAATCAGTTATAGAAATATGATAATCAAAATAAAAAGATTTAAGAATGTTGTTTTCAGAAACTAATTGTGAGCCTACTCATTCTACAGAAATTTATGCCTATATATTTTTAAGCAGTATTCGAGAATCATTTTGTTTATTCAGATTTTCCTGTGTGTTATGTTTTCTTTCTATGTTTTCTTAGTTTGGAAGCCAACAGCCAGATTTAATTTTTGAGTTTAATATTTTTGTAATATAAATCTGCTAAACACTGACAAGATTTTACATCCAAAGAGATTTTTGGATGTTACTGCATAAAAAGATATATACGTTTTATTAAATTTATTTATTAAATTCTACTAATTCTGCATCTCCAAAAATAAAATGAGTAAAAATTGGATATTGGAAGCAGATTTATTTATATTTCTTTGAACTATGCAGACATTTTCAAAGATTTGATTCAAAGATGCACTATATTCTGCATATATCAACAAACTGTTGGTCATCTAGCTGTATAGAATTCATTGTAATTTGGTAATTTTAAATGATTTTATAATATATATATTCACAATTTATGGTACATAATTACAGATTATCACATCTGTCTCCTCTCAGCAAATCAGCCATGATCAATAAACTAGGCAAACTGCCCTGTCAGAAACAATGTTCTTTCTCTGACAGAATATACCTGATTACAAATGCAGTAACGTGGCTCATTTGGATCATAGGTCCAATCAACCTGGCTATTAGATTCAGACTCGGGAATGACTGCTGTTTGCTGGGAGAGTTCCTGGGCTAGTGCAGAGGATGAAGAACATGATGACAAAGAAGAAGATGAAGATGATGAGGACGACTGTTGACTTGAAGATTTGTTATTGTTTCTGAAAAATTAACATAAACAGGTTACTTTCGCCAATCTATTTTCCATGACAGGGGACACCCTGAAAACAAAACAATTTTAAAAAACTGTGACTTGATACAATTTTAAAATGATTTCTAAGTTAAACCAGTATGTAACAAATACTTTTCCCTTCACTTACAGAAAGTCTGAATTTTCTGTCTGGGGACTATGCATAATAAAATAATCTACCTTTTCTTCATAAGGGGAATGTTGAGGTCCAACTAAGATTTTGGGTCATTCTTCTTTGAACTTTTCTTCAGTGATTTTTGTTAAAGAAGGCAATGTATCACAAATGGCATACAATGGAATTTAGGAATTAATTATAATTCATTGAGTATTCTTTTGTTAGAGCCCTTTTCTTTGAATATCAATTTCTTTCAGTATAGGAAAAAACTTCCTGCAGACTCAGAGAATGCATTTTCTTGCCTTCGCTGTAATTCATCTTCGTATTCTTAAGTAACAGTGCAAATAATATATTTTAAAAATCTTCAGCAACCATAGCTCTTGAATTATTCCTGAAGGGAAGTCTAAATACTGAATAGTATGGAAATAAAAAGGCTTAGAAATTTGATAACTTAATTGCTTCTGCGCCTTAAGGTGATAAGCCGGATTAAGACAGCAAGTTCATGCTGCCAAAAAAAAAGGTGAAAATTATTGTAGTGGTTGCACTCCATCTGGTGGTCAAAACTAATAGCAGTTCCTATTTTTTTGGCATGAAACTTTGGCTTAAAATTGAATTTACAGACTCTATCCTCATTACATTCCTACTCAGAGGTATCTGCCTGACAGGCCAGATCCTAAGAATGGTGATAGCAGGAGGCATTATAACCTATCTCCTGAGAATGGCACGAATTCTGTGCAGACTGCTGCAAAAAGATGGGTTAGATGCTCAGCTTTTTTACTCTTGCTTTAGCTACTTGCTGCTTAATGTACATTTTCTTTTTTGAGTCTTGGGAAGTTGGAAATTGAAGCTGGAGATTGTCCAGAAAAGCAGCAAAAGAAAAGTTCATTTTGTTATTAGTGCTGCTAACAAAGAGAATAATAGATAAAGGTGGTCTTGGAAAGACATCACAGAGGGAACACAACTACAAGTAGTCCTCGAGTTACAACTGTTCATTTAGTGGCCATTCGAAGTTACAATGGCACTGAAAAAAGAACTTGGACCATTTTTCACATGGACCATTGCAGCATCGCCATGGTCACGTGATCAAAATTCAGACACTTGGCAACTGACTCATATTAATGATGGTTGCAGTGTCCCGGGGTCATGTGGTCACCTTTTGCAACCTTCTGACCAGCAAAGTCAATGGGGAAGCTATATTCACTTAACAAATGTGTGACTAACTTAACAACTGCAGTGATTTGCTTAGCAACAGAAAATTTAGACTCAATTGTGGTAATAAATCAAAGACTACCTGTAGTGTAAAAGGTTTTCAGATAGACCTTGGTTACAGTGGCAACTAGGACTATAATTTCCTTTGCTAAACTGTGTTGAGAGCAATGTCATATAACTAGATTACTTAGTGATGGCAATCCCAGCAGTTTGGTTGCTAACTGCACAGATTATTAAAGAAGGGCCTCATGTGATCAGACTGCTAGGCAAGCAGGCTGCTAGGCAAGAGCTGTGGGCTGGCACTACTGAGTGTGGGTGACCTGGCAAGGACTATGAGTGGGACTTCCATGTACTGGCAGATCCCTAAAATCTCCTAATCCATAGCAAGGTTCCTTGGGAGAAAAAGTTGCAAGAGCAACTTATAGGAGAAGTTTGTGACCTTCCCTGGCAGTTTCCCCATTGTGCAAATTATTCATTGCAATGTTAATTGCAAGCCGGGCAACTGAGAACACAGATTGTGATCATGTGACTGCAGAGACACTGATGGCGGGAACTCTTGAGAAATGGTTGTGGAATCCCACATCCAGCATTGTTGTAATCTATCTATTATCTCGGTAGGAAAGCAGAAAATAAATATTTTAATGCTGTACAATAGCTGAAAGATGCAATAAACCCTGTATCTTTGTCATGCATGTAATTTTGTCTTTCCCAGGTAGAAACTGCAATCCTCTTTTGAATGTCTCTGACAACAGTTTTAATGAACGTACTTGCTTTTTCTACCACTCCGTGAATCTGTGGTTGATGAACTCAATGTCTGTGATAATGTAGACGCCAAAGCAGATGAGGTATATCCAGCTGTGTCCCTGGATAATGCAAATTCTCTTGTGAGTTGGAAGTCATTGTTCTTAAAGGCTTCATAGCTTGCCTTTAAGCTCGATGTCCGTCTTCCTTCTTTCATCTAAAAGAAAAACAGCAATATTACATGGATAGTTTCAAATTTAGCCTCATTTATAATACAATGAGTACAGAAGTGAAACACTTGACTTTCACTGCTTTCCTTGAAGCATGACTAGACCTTGAGCTAATCTATAAGTACATTATGGAGCAGTTAAAGCTTGTTTAAGGTATAATCATTTAATGATTACTTTACTTTCTTCCCTAAAAAATACTACAGCTGAGGTTTGATCTTTCCATGTCCAAAATATTGCAAGAAAATTATTGATATTTTCCTGTGGCTCGTCTCAAGCACATGTAGATAAAATTACAGGTTTACAAGTTTAACCTAGTGGGAAAAGGTTTCAGAATGTCCTATATAAATCTCTCCTTTTCTAAAACCTACATCTATGAAATGTCAACCAATAGATTGACATCTTTGAAAACAATTGTTTTGAAATGCCAATAGCAAATCTAATGAAATAAATGTTGCTCTAACAACCTGTTTGGGGTAGGTATTTTAAAACATGCTTTGAATTCCTTACCTGTGCTGTGGCTTGCACTGCCTGAGCTGCTGCCATGGTAATAGCACCAGCTCCAGCTCCTGAAGATAATGAGCCCAGGTTATACGATGCCAATGGCTGAGAAGAATTTGCATTATATGCACTGTTGGATGAGGATGATGAATTACTGTTTCGACACCCTTGATGAATAAAGGGAACATATTTATATAGTCTAAAATGAGAACTAAAAAAGTAAATGTCAGAAAACTGGAAATCAACTGTGTATGAAGGAAAAGTTAGATAGTGTGCTAATTAAGAAAGGAAAATATTGATTTAATGATGTGGAAAGATTTTGGTGCTGTATCAGTTTCTCGCTATTGTTTGCTCTCTCGCCCAAAGACTAAAATGTAACAAAGTTATGGAAGAAATGAATTCTTTATTTCATGCTTCAATAAACCATTTGATATGATTAAAAAAGGAGTGTTCTTGGTATTCAAATTTAAAAGTAGGGTGATTTTTAAAATACAATGGTATGATAAATATTACAATACTCAAAATTGCATGTCTTGAGAATCAAATTTATTAGCAATAAAATATTAACCTTTTTCTCTACTTAGTTCAACTATATGCTACACAAATAAAATGAGAGATACATATTTTAAGATGCAACATGAATATTATTAGGACAATGCAGAAAGTTACAAAATTTTATTTGGCTCCGAATCACTTCTCACGTGCTTTTAAGTGTATGTAATTTAAGATTATGTAATGGCAAGTATATTACATACCACTCAGAAAACTGAAAATATTTACTGCCTTAAAAAATATTTGCAGCCATAAGTAAATAAGCAGTCTGGCCTATGACAAATATTACTTTTTATCAAAAGCATCTTTTCCCAAACTTGTCTTCCAACTGTAGAGAAATTCTGGTTTTTTTTGTTTCTTTTGCTGTTAAAAAATATTAGAAACATGTCCTTGCCAAACTGTAAGTAAACAAATGGAAGTAGGGCAGACTAATTCTCTTCCTTGGAAAGATAGTAATAGTGATGTGGCAAATGAGTTAGCACATATGCAAGGCAAAGTTGGAAATGGAAAAAAATGAGACATTGAACAAAGAACGTAGAGAAAAAGAAGGAAGGATATTAATATCAGGAATAGCTGGGTGAAAAGAGGTGGTGAATCATGAGCCTATATGTTATTTTTTGTGTCAACAAGATCCTTCTAGATATGATAAGGCCATTTTCTTATATATTCTTCCACCCATTTCTTCAAAAACAGAAATGGGAGGAAACATGTTGCACTGAATCAAAGAAAATATTGGAAGACTTAGATCACAAATATACTGTTGCCCTTGTTAGTGATAGGCTGCTGCAACCTTCTGCTCGATCTGGTTGCTATTCAGGACTAAGTATTTAAAACTGTGCATTGGCTATTAACATGCTTCTGGGGAAAATTCAAGGTGTTGGCAGCCCTTCATGGTTTAGGACCTGGTTGTTTATGGGCCCATTGTTTTGCTGGACATTTCTATCTGTCCCATGTAGTGTGACAGGAGAAGAATCTTCCAGGTCTCATCTGCTTATGAGTATCAGCCAGCAGGTCCCAGGAGCAGCCTTTTATGTTCTGATGCTCCCCCTCTTGAATATTATCTTTCCAGAGTTGAGATTGGCTGTTCCTATTGGTCTTCCAATAAGGCCTAGAAGACTTGCCTCTATCGAGCCTGGGACCCAGTGTGTGTGATGAAGACATCTCCTGGTTCTGCTGAATGATTGACTTAAGATTTTTAATTTTTCCCTGATATCTTTGTTTTATATATTTTATATATGTTTTACCTTTTTTAATATTGCTAGCTATCCAGACTCATGTTTTTGAGATGGGTGGTCATATAAAACTAATAAACAAATACATAAGTCTCCTTGAACTGAAAAGCAGGGGTTAAGGATAAAGAGTTAAGTATAAAGAAAAAATGCATTTTGTGGGGGGGGCATAATCCTAGTAGGGAGCTAACCAGAAATCAATGGCAATTCTGTTTAGTCTATTTTCCCCATGTTTTGTTAAAGCTGTTTTTAATTTTTGGACTACTTCTGCACTTATAGCTTATAAGTTCTGTCATACAGCTTTTAGCAGCAAATGCTGCGGCAACCACTTTTAAATAAAAAAAATTTCCCCTCAAACAACAGTTTCTGAATATAGGATGCAAAAATGGTTCAGTTTGCTTAGATTTTCACTTAAATTTATAACAGAAATTACCTTGTGCATTTTCTTTAGAGGCATCTGAAGTGAGAGTTGACAGAAGAGCTTCAGATTTAAACTTCTTTTCAGGTACATGGTCTGCTGCTGCATGATGAGAGGAGGGATTGTGTTTCCTTTCTGTATAAAGAATTTTTAAAAACCTGTCAGTCCAAAAGTCTAACCTATGGTGCTGAAATGCAAGTGACATACTTCTAAAAAGCTTAGTCTTATCAAGCTATTTTTATCAATTTTAGATCCACCGAATGCATTCAAGCATTTGTGCAAATTCCAATGGCAGCTTTAGGAGACAGCCTGCTTTTTATGTAGATAATCCTATTAGTTTTATATTCATACTAAATCAAATTAAAGGGAAAATATTCAACTTACTTTCTACTGGAGTGTGAGAATGTGCGTGATGATTATTCAATGGTTGTGAAGGTGTATCCAGTTCCAAAGAACCTGTCAGGATAATAAATATTTCTTTTAATCCCATATATGGTTTTGACAAGGTACTTTAAATATGGCAAAAAAGGACCCTGACACCATGGGTTTACTTATCTTTTTCATTCTACTAGATTTTTATCTTGTAGAATTAGAACATTCCTAATGGAAAACCTCAAAATGTAGTTAAAACTTTACAGGGTTAATAACCCTCTTAAAATCAATCATTTCTACCATTTCCATTCTATTTTTTCAAACTGTAAAGCAGATTCAAGGATTTTCATGCCTTATCATGCCTATCATTCTTTTACTGAATCAAATCTAAATTCTAATCTAATTCACATGTAAATGTGAATTTACATGTGAATTTTGTACACTGCAAATCGCAATGTTACTTTAAATTCTTAATTTCAGATCCAATCATGCCATCTTTGAACTGGATCTTGGGTACTTTGCACACTATTAACTGCCTGGTACTGTTAAACTAGAATTTTATCATCCCACAATATTATACGCACTAGCACAATTCTAAAAGATTATCACACATACTTACGTCTTTCCAGTATTTCGGTAATACCAGCATTATCAGCTTCAAGTTCCATTTTAAATTTAGCTAACTCCTGGTCCAATTTTCTTAAATGACGGTCTACCTAATTTAATAACAGATTTTTAGAACTGTCAGCTTATTTTCAACCAGCATTATCATTTCAGACCTTTAGAAGGGTATTAAGAAAATGAAAATTTGCCATATAAAACATGCATAACAGAATCCTCAACATAAAAGCGTTCATATACTTACACGAAATACATTTATTCATTTATTACATTTATTCAATTCTTATAGATCTCTCAACTGTTTTAAATACTGTATCAAAATCATGTTTCACCATGGAGAAGATATTTGTAATGGAAATAAGACTTCTTTTTATACCCAGATGATAGATTCCAGAAAATAACAATAAGGTATCTGCTTCATCACTTTCCATTTATCTTTTGGTTCCATTTCATATCCCTGTTCTATCTTGTTTCCCTACACTCATATTTTTCATTGTTTGCCATTATGTAAAGTCATCTGTCAACTGACAAGTTGGGCTACATTGAAACATGGGTGACAATCTTATCTTTGTGACTTATACTTCAGGATGTATTGTGCAAACTAAGACAACCGAGCTGAAAAACCACTGGCTAAATTAATACAAACTTTAAGCCTCTATATACCCTCTCAGATTTCAATTAACTATCACCTGATAAAGGCTATTATGAAATTAAATGGTCTTTCTTCTTAGAAAAGTCAGGCCATGCAAACCATGTAGTCAGCAAGGAAGCTAACACAAAAACCACCACAAATTTGGTTGTACCACAAGTGGTACAAATCTAGGCAGGAGCTCTGGGATGTTCAAAAATTAGGGCAGACCTGCATGTGTTAATGAAAATATATTTATTTCTATTGTTATACAGTTACATTTATGTACTAATGTTGAAAGAAAGTGTCAACTGAAGACCACCATATAAATCAACTCAAAATTTTCTATTTTACTTACTAAATCATAAATTTGATTAGCCAACTGTACTTTTTCATCTGCATCTTCTAGCGCTTTGTAGTAATCCTGCATCAGAAATATTATGTAGGCAAATTGGTCACAAATATTATTTAGTAACACATTAATAATTACTAACTGAACTAGGGCAAAATTATCTATCAATGCATTATTACACTATATTAATATATTAAAATAAAACATATTTTAAGATAGAAATTAATATGGGTTAATTAATATGGGACTACTGCAATTTCCTCTATATGGAGATGTTCTTGAAAAAAACACAGAAAGTTCAACTGGAACAGCATTCAGAAACTCAGATGGGTGTATCTAGATTTGTCCATCTGAAAGCATTAGTGTAAGAGTTACACTGGCTGTTTGCTTCCAGGCACAAATCAAGGTGTTTGGAGACATACTAGGGTTCAGGACAGGTAATATTTAAACCGTCTGGGCTGAGACTGTCCATCCAGTAAAAGCTGGGAGAAAATGCTTACATGCTTTTCAGTGATTGTGTACCACTGCCACTACCACAACCCTAGGCCTTGAAAAGCTTACAATTTGATATCTGGAATACTTCCTTCTTTTGGGCTTTTAAAAAAATCTTTAAAGATCTGGCTCTTCAGCAAAGGATTTGAAAACAATGAAGATTGATCTGCTTCCATAGGTGATGCTATTAGGCAATGTTCTAATTATTATTTTAATTTTTTCTTGCTGGATGTTATCTGTTCAAAGGAGTTTTGAATTACAACATAGAAACCGTGGTAAATAAGTGAATATAAATGTATTTCTAGAACCATGATTTAGCAAATATTTAGAGTTATAAAAAGGTTCAAGTAAAGGTAATCAAGGAACTTGAAATGAAGTCCTATAATAGAGGTGTAAGAAGCTGAATGTATTTAGTTTTAGAAAACACTACTGAAGACAGTATTTATGATGGAATTGTTCAAATATTTCTATACACAATTTCTATCCATTTAGCAGGATATGTGATAACAGATTTAAATTTCAGGAAGGCAAACCCTAGTTGAAAGTTAGATAAAACTTCCTAACAAAATGAGCACTTTTAATAATGGAACCCACTACCAATGACTATGATAGGATACCTTTCATTGTATATATTCAAAACACGGTTTAAATAGTTACTATTTGTCTGAGATACTTAACTTAGGTTCTAGAATTGAGTTTAATGTATAAATATTTATAATTCTATAATCAGTATTCATAAGTGAAAAATGTTATTGAAATAACCAAGACCTTTGATTTAACTTGTTCATTTGGTATTTATTCCTGTTATTTAATCAAATAGGTATCAAATCAAATTTGAAGATTAGTTGAAATTTAAATAGTTCCATCTCTTTCCACTATTTTCAAGCGTGGAAGATACTGTGTGCCCTTGAATATGTGGAAATAAAATGAAAGCCAATGTCTATATTGAAAACACATTGCATTTAAAAAAATCTATCAATGCCACTTGTTTGTAAATAGGACAGGTCATATAAAAAATGTATAGGTGTAGAAAATACATCAACACTGAAATATTCTACAGTATTTTGATTCTGAAAGCTGTTCAAAGCTGAAATAGTTGTTCTAGATATTCCAGGAACATTTCAAGCACAAAATTGATCCATTTCCTGCTAAAAATACTTGTTTAGATTTCAAACGCCTGAGTGCAAAAGAGTTCTAGAATGGTTGGGGCAACCCGATTCTAAATGAAATAGAGCAGATCACGTGGGAAACATTTCAAATTTTGCAGTCCTACTGAAAAGCAAAATCATCCTTGAAAACTGAAGCATTAAAATAAAGTCAAAATGATCTTTAAAAGATTCTTTAAAAAAGAAAGCCATCAACCATGAAATACATTTTCCAAGGTCATGATTCATTCTTTAAAAACTCACTGTATCAATTCTTTTGTTGTTATATGCCTTGTAGTTTAATGCCTGCCTAATTAAAATAAAAAATAATTTTCTCTAAGTAGTAGAAATATTCCTTTGCCACTACTCACAGGTCATAGTTCTTTTTCTGGTTAAGCAGAGAATCAAATGTGGTTAAAATCCTTAAATTTTATACAGAAGGAATTCTGCATTTTATCCTACCTGTGAAGAATGTTTATATCGAAACTCATAAGTAATTTAAAACAAATTCAAGGATCTACTTTGGAATTTTGTTGTAAGAAGGCATTTGCCTTATTCTTACCTTTTTAATTGAAGTCATTTGTTCTTCTCTCCATTCCTGTTTGTTTTTCTTTGCATTCATAAAAAATTCATTTACCCTTTGCTCCAGTTGATCCATTGCATCTTAAACACAAAGAAAATTCTATATGTTCATTTATCTAGATAAATATGTAATAGTTTGAAATAGAGTAACACTAGTAAGCAAATATTTTAAGACATTAAGAAAATGACTGGTCATAAGACATAATTTAATTTGTCCATTGAGGTTTGTCTGACTTATATCCCAAAATCTCAAGACAGTTAACAAGAGAATCTTTCCTCATTTTTAATGCACATTAAAAAGATCAGAAAAGTTGATTTGAGAACATGACTTGTCCAAAGTTCACAAGTGCATTTCCATACTGAGGATAGGCTTGAATATGAGTTTCCTCACTCCAATTTGATATTTTAACTGCTAAACCACTGGCAGTACTTTAACATTATAAGAGACACATGACATCTTAAAAATATTTTTGTAAAATTAAGTCTTCCTAAATCCAGTGAAATTTACAAAATAAGGAGATATAAGATCACATTAGCTGAACGAAGTATTACAAATGAATCTACTTTACTTCCAGATAGCATATTTATCTTCAGACACATTTGTCATGAAAGCTGCAGCAAAGAAAATAGTTTCAAAATTCCTAACTACTGAACTGTCTATATACAGCAGAGCTAGGGTATTTCAGATGTTGCTATGCTGTAACCCCTAGCACCCAGAATGAATAAGGCCAATGGTATTGTTGGACAGTACTATAGTAAGAGCCAGTCTGGTCCAGTGGTTTAAGGCACCAGGCTAGAAACCAGAAGAATGAATTCTACTCCCGCCTTCGACACAATAGTCAGCTGGATGACTTTGGGCCAGTCATTCTCTCTTAGCGGGCAAAATCAGGCTCAGACAACAAGTTGATCGGTCAATTCCTGTCACAACCAATGGATCAAAACTTGATCCAAAAAACCCTAACCCTGCACTTGCAGGAAAACACCAGGGAGAGGAAAAAGTTCTTCTTCTTGTGCCATATCTGTCATCGGACGTAGGCGATCCTATTTTTATCAACAGCCGCACAAAAAAGTGTTGTTGAGTTTGTCCAAACCAAATTGCTATTGAGAGTGCATAAATATATCCGAGAATGTATTTAAGCAATTAAATTCAAATGCACCATAAACAATGAGCAAGTCTCAATTACACGTATGTTTCCAAGATGGTTGACTTAATCATGGTTCAGTTAGGGGGAGTTGCATAATATACTAAATCATAAATTAATCACTTTGATTGAGTCAAAGGGTACCTGCTAAAAGTAACGTAGTTAGCTTTTTAAGGTTTAGTTTGAATCTTCCAACAAATAGACAAAAATAGGGAAAGTGTGAATAACATCAAGATAATAAAATTGAAATATTTAGGACAAATGATGTGCAACAAGAAATGCCAAATACTTCATACACAACAGAAGATTCAAAGAAAATTTAGAGCTGGAAGTGATGTACATTCAGGCTGAAAAAATCTACATAAATTATTGGGGAAAAGTAGTGTTTTGGGCAGTATTATGAAGTGTCACTGTTCCAGCAGAAATAAGTGTTGTATATACATATACAGTATATATATCAACAATGTGCGGAAAAATCTTTTGTGAGTTCTGCTTATTTACTGTGTTTATTATGCATGAGGCTGATTATAGTTTTTATTTTACAGACGATTCTGTATAGTGTTAAACACCTGGATGGGAAGATCCACGTTCAAGTCCATCCTCTGCCACAGAAACTCAACTCAAGAAACTCACAGAAGAACAACTCAACTCAGACGGTTATGGGGGGAAATGGGAGAAAGCAAGCAATAGGTGCATCTTCCTGAGCTCCCGAAAGTCAGGCGAGATATGCGTGTAATCAAACGTATTTCTTCATCCTCATCGATTTCCTACCCTACCAACTTATTTTCCTCTCCCTGCTAGCGGATCATTCTTCTGAACTTATGTTTCGTGTTGCTGCAAAGGCGCTTTTACGGCGCAGGTGCCGTTTGCCTAATCCTAAATTCCTGACGAATGCAAAGGCTCGTGCGGGCAGAGCCTGAGAGAGCCACGTGTATCTTTCCTTCGACGGTGCTTCACGCACGGCTGCGAGGGAGCTCTTCCCACCCTTCCCTCAGGAAGCCCGCCTCGGCGGCCGGCTGCGCTCGAAGCCGCGCCAGGGAGGCGGTCCGGTGGGCGGGGCTGACTCACGTACTCTGCACCTGCAGGTCCATCTCGCGCATCTCGGTGAACCTGTCGCGGAGATCCATGGGAAGTTGTTCGATCACTGCAGGGAGGGAGAAGGAGTGAGTCAGTTAGATGCAACAGCCGCCTTGAAAGAGGGAGGAAGGTGGGCGGAGCCTACGCTGCGCTCTCGCCGTTCCCCCTCCCCTCGGGCCTCTTGCCCCCCGCCGCGCTCCCACTGCAGAGACTCACTCTCGAGGTAGTCCTCCAAGTACAGCATGGTGGCGGCGGCGAGGCACGAGCCCAGGCGGCTCCGTTGTTTCTGCGACGAGCGAGGGGGGGGCTGGGTGGGGGTGAAAGGGGAAAAAAAAAAACACCGCCTCGTCCCTTCCAATATGGCGCCCGCACCGCCAACACCACCAGAGCTCGACTCAGCGAAAACAACATTGGCGGCTGACGGCGCTCGCTTCGGCCGCCGCGCGATTGGCTCCCGGAGAAGGTGACGTATGTTCGCGGTTCACAGGTTCCCACTGCTTCCTGGGAAGCGTAGTTGTTTGAGCAAAGGCAGCGTGGACAGGAGAATTCAAAAACTACACGTCCCAGAAGTCATTGGCTTGGACGCAGAAGGAACAGGAGGATGCTATAAGGACGCGGGGAAGTTGGAATTGTCCCTCGATGGCTTAATTACTGACGGTGTTGCTCTCCATGTTTACGTAGAATCGCTGTATTCGAGCTAGTTCAGACGAACTGAAAGTCACGAGTCAATGTAGTTAAAATGCTACTTCTAGTTTAAGAAACCTGTTCCAAAAATATAATCTATAGTAATTTATTTCCTCCCTTTACAGTTTAATATCGAGCCATATGGTTATGTGAGATTATCCACAGTGTTGCAGATTTAGGACAAATATGCCATAGTTCTTTATTGTTTTTCTAAATTAAGTAGCTGTGTGTGTGTGTGTGAAGAAAAAAGAGGTTTGCAAACGTAAATAAACGTAAATAAGAGCCTTGGTGGCGCAGCAGACTACAGCACTGTTAAGTAGCACCAGCTGCCTGCAATTACTGCAAGTTCAAATCTCACCAGGCTCAAGGTTGACTCAGCCTTCCATCCTTTCGAGGTAGGTAAAATGAGGACCCGGTTTGTGGGGGCAATAAGCTGACTTTGTATAAATATACAAAAGTATGAAGGCTATTGCTTAACGCATTGTAAGCCGCCCTGAGTCTCCGGAAAAGGGCGGCATATATAAATCGAACCAATAAATAAATAAATTTAAGGTGTCCTTTTCATAAAGAATGTAGTTTCTTCTGCTAGACTCACCCCATCCTTACATAATTGTAAACAGCATTTGAGAAGTGACCTCACCACCCCCAATTTGTTCACCAACAATTCTTTTTGTTTGGGGAGAAAGTGAATGGGATGCTCAATGGAGAATATCCATATTGTCCTGTATTGCAACTGTTGGAAAACAAGGAGGTTCAAGCAAAATTGTGATGTTACTTGACAGGAAGGTGGAAATCCCAAAATCCTAGCGGCAAGATAAAGTAGCAGTTTCTGCTGCTGGAAAATCGTCTGTCCTGGAATTTTAGAGTAAACCACTGGCTGTCCAATAAAGGTTTCATCTGGAATAGGACCCCCAAAGTGGGGGTTCATTAACTTGGCTTCTCAAGTCAAATGGAAGTGTAATGATGTTATGGAGGATGATGCTCATTTTTCTTAATAAATTGGGAAATAAAACAAGGTACAAGGGGGAAAAAAGATAGGCAGTCTTCACAAAGGAAGTCTTATTACATAGCCATTTAACCTGCATCATGCACATCCACGCTTTCATTAAGGCAGAGCTAAAATTTCTTAACTGGCTCATTTTTATTTTCTTATTTTCTCCTAGCTATTCTACACAGGTGGTCTTTGCCATATTTTTTCATGTATGATGAAAATATTCTAGAGAATCTGTATAAATGATAGAGAAATAAACATAAATGGTGTCTTAAGCCCTTTATTATTACAATAGTCCAATAATTCCTTAAAGGGCAATAGGAAATACTGGATTTTCTCCTCCAGAATTGGGGAATTTAGCATGGAAGAGATCTGACTTATCATTTGTTCCCTTTTATTTTGAATGTAATTAAACGAGCGCCGTTATGATTCTCCTTCATTTAATATGCAGTAGGTTACTGAATCAATTTATTACAGTAGTAGATTTTGAAACCATATGTTCTTATTCAATTTCCTCTATCTTTAACTAAATCTTTCAAAATAAAACAACACTTTTTAAAAAAAAAGTCAGGGTTTTACAAATTTGATGTAACTGTTCATTTTAATTCTTTTCAATTTTTAAAAAAATCTCTTCAAGATAAATATTTTTTACTCTATTTTCTTTTGTGTGTCTGGCTTTATGCTAACTGAAACAGTATCTCTGGCTGCCTTTATAAAGACAAGAGAGTTCATAAATATTGCTTACTATTAAACTGTTTTCATGCAAGATAAAATTCTTATGTACCTCTCTTATTGTGAACTCCACATTGTCTTCTGCACAGATGTACTGGCATGCTGTAGTCAATCTTGATTTCCCAAGATCTCAATATGGAGTCCAGTAGGAAAACATGCAGCTGTGTGTGTTACAAATTGTAAGTTAAATTATTAATGTTTTGTCTGATGTGAAGATAGTAATACTAAAAATACATCATGAGCTTGTAGCTTCTGCTTCTCACTAACTGCACATGGGAAATAACTACAAGAAGAGGGTTATCCTAAACCCGTGATGGCAAACCTATGGCACATGTGCCAGAGATGGCACGCAGCGCCCTTTTTGTGGGCATGCAAGCTATCACCCCAGTTCAGCTCTGCCATGCATGTGCGCACGCCCCCCACAGGCCAACTGGTCTTCTGGTCTCTGCCGTGCATGCATGGGGGCAATGCGCGCATGGGGGGGACGCATGCGCGTGGCCCGCTGTGCATTGCATTTTGGGGGTTAAATGTCAAATGCTAATGTGGGCTTTGGCACTCGGTCCGGAAAAGGTTAGCCATCACTGTCCTAAACCAAACATTCTTATTTTTAAAAAAGCCCCTGTGTTTTGTGATATACTTCTCAGCACTAAATTAAAATAAAATGTATGCTCTAAAGGAGATGCTTAAGAGTGGCAAAACTAGACAGGAAATACTAAAGTATATATCTATTTTTGCATTATTTAAGTTCTGTTTCTGTTAAAACCAGCAATCAAGAGTTACCTCTGGCCAGCTACCAAACACTAGAGCAAAAGAAAATAATTTTCACCAAGTACTGATAGATTCCATTCCTGAGTGTCCCTGAATACTGATTTAAGGCAGCCACCTGCAAGCTGATGCTAATTTCATGTATTTTGTACTATTGCTGCTCCAGTTTCCATTCATAATTAGTATGTCGTCTTTTCAAAGTCATTTTGAAGGCAAAGCTGTTGTGGTGTTCTGAAAGCTCAAAATTGTGAAATATATAACCTTGGCTCTGCTATGAAGTTGGACCAAGCTACTGGATTTCTAACTCAGCTGATCATGAATAAAGGTATTTGGGAAATTATTCTAAAATACAATGCAAACTATGGGATCATGAGCGCTCTTCATAAACTACTATACCAAATTAGTGATGATGTTAAACAAAGAACATCATACAAATGAGTGGTTGAAGAATGAAGCTAAATTGCTTGGAATCAAATACATGTTTTTTTCTGATGCAGTATATTTTGTAGGGCTATTTCTGAAAATGAATGTGTGGCTTCAAATAATTTAAAGAATGAGAGGATAGAAAAATGATTTGCCTTTGGGTCTGAATTGCTTTTGTCTGACTGAAGCAGTTATCCATACATTTCTATGTGAAAAATCATCTGCTATTGAGTCTGTTCAAATTACTTGCAGTTTTCAGTAGTTTGTTATAAGCTACAAGACATCACTGTTTATAAATTAGCCAGTAAGCCTGAAAATTTTAATAATGGCTGAGCAAGTGCTATCTGAGAAACTTAAGCATGTCTTAGACAACTGTTATCATACTTTTTTAATTGCCCTCAGCAGATACTTTGGTTATTTACAAGACAAAAGGCTGGGCCAGCTTGTCTACAACACAAAAGACCTTCACCCTAAGGACATAATAGGATTAACCCTCTACCCATTTTAGCATATGGCACCTGGGAAGATTATATCACCCAGCAAGATTCAGCCAGGCACAGGAAACTCCAAGGCGGGGCCCAAGAGAGGGCATAAATCTCTCCCTCTGTCACCCATGTGTTCTTTTTGCCCAGGACCTCAAAGCATGTAGTCCTGTCCACCATTAAACTATCTTTCCAAGCAGTCTCCATGTTTCCAGTGTCTGTCTTCTCACTTGGAACTGAACCCAGATGGACATTTCTTCCAACAGGATCTTGAGTGAAGGCTAATCATACCATTCTGCCTTTGTTCAGACTTTGCTGCAGCGAGTTTCAAAATATCCTGTCTTGAATGGATTACCAAATACGCATTTCTAAAAGCTGCCTCCTCAGTTTCTGCTTGGGGGCAGGGAGACTAGGGCTGGTTTCTGAATAGGCTGGCCCAATCTTTCTTAATGGGCACAAAACATCTGCTGGGGGCTATTAAGAAAGACTGAGTCTGCTTCCTGCCTCTAAAACAGTATTTCCCAAACTTTTGACATATGTGTACCCCTTCTATAATTTTCGTAATGCTGAGTATCCCTCATAAAAAACATATGCTTTAATAAAAATCAAAATATATTTATTTTTTATTTTTTTGGTACATACACAAAATAAACGAAAGTTATATTATAAAGAACATTTATTTGATTCAATGAGAAGGATGAAATTGTTTATGTTGAGATGACAAATCATCATAATTTGGTTCCCTGGTTGTTAATTTTAATCTGAGATGCGGTTCCACGTCCAATAGTCTGTTCCTTTTTTTCGACTTAATGTCTTTCCTTGTTCTGTGGGCGCAGCTAAGCACGGTGCAGTGGAT